GGATGGGAGGGGGGGCGGGGGGGGGGGGGGGGGGGGGGGCGTGTACATTGACAGGGGTGGGAACCCTCTTTATCCGAGAGTAGAAAAGGAAGTTTGGGCTGGAGATGCAATTTAATATAAATTTGATACAATTTGATACAATTTAATATAAATTTGATACACTTGAATAAGATTCCCTTTAATCCGGTGATCCTGGAACTCATCTGCTGGGGGCAGTAAGCAGAGTGTTCCAGGACCCCCAGCAGCTGTGTTCCAGAATCTCCAGGTTCGTAGAAAACGGGAACGCCGAGGTATCTGACAGTCCCGATGTCGTTTATTCATCACGGTCATTGTTTCTAAACAGCCAACACATTTTGGGGGGGGGGGCCCAAGGAACCCCCTTCATCAGCGCCGCGAGCAATACAACATCCATATTAGAAGGAAGATATCTGAATGAATGACAGGACCTGTTGTGTGTATGAAACCTTTGACATTGCAGCGCGCTGACCTCACCCGTACTCCTAACTCATCACTAAGGCACGCTAAAGCGGCCTCTCGGTTGATGTTATTGGCATTTTAGCATGCCGCGAGTGCTATTGAACGCCTTTGCAGCTTGTTGAATCCCCGCCGGCGTTTTTTTTTTCAGGATGCGGGCAAATTGCGCTCTGGCTCCGGGGCTGGGAAATAAACCTGGGATTTGCGAGGGGTTAACCGTTCTCTCGAAGCAACGGGGGAGCTGCCATGCCGGCGGTGGTCCCTCGGAAACGCATCAGAAAAGTATTGGCATGGCAACAGGAGCCTTTCTGTCAGCGGCGACCCACGGCGGGGCCGCGCCTGGACGGAGAGGTCTTGCAGTCTGGATTTCTGCCCCTCCCCCGCCAGTCTGAAGATGTGCGCTGTGCCTATGGACAGCTCTGCGCGGAATTTTCTGTCCTCGGAAACGGGCCGCGGCTTTCACCGCCTTACTATTCCCGAATAAATCTTCTCGATTTTTAATACTTTGTCAAAAAAAATGATTACAATGTATCCTTAAAGAGCAGCACCGGGGGGGGGGGGGAAATGGTCCTTAAAGGGTATGTATAGCCCAAACTTTTTTATTCATTTGTAGATGGAAGTGGGCGGTGCTACAACCCCTGTCATGTTTTTGGTGTCCAAAATCCAAAATGTTACCGTCACAGAAACAGAGGGGAAATCTTCCATCGGGGGGGGTATGAAAGGAAGTGCACATGACAGGAAGTGAAGGAAAATTTCCCCCCAATTGGATGAAAAACCTGGCGGGGGGGTTCAACCGAATTGAACCGTTTCCCCCATTTTATCCCAAAAATTAATATTAGTTTTTCTATAATCAACTGCAGCCAGGTTTAGCAGCTACTTCACAGGGGCGTGGGCTGCAAAGAGAGTGGGCGGGGCTAGAACCTGGGAACGCCCGCAATGTATATTCCCTGGACCATCCACGGATTTAGGTAAACCCCTCAGCAGGTGAACTTGATGCCCCCGATGTCTGTGGAGGTTCCCACTGATCCAGGTCACGGTCATCCATCTAGCACAGGGGTAGCCAAACTCCGGCCCTCCAGCTGTGGGGTGGAACTACAAATCCCATGAGGCACTGCGAGATTCTCACAGCCGCAGACACGACTCCCGGAGAGAGACGCATCATGGGATTTGTGGTTTCACCCACAGCTGGAGGGGCCGGAGTTTGGCCACCGCTGATCTAGTAGTAGTCGGTCACAATGAATCGGACTTTGTTCTGTGATGCTGAAGATGTTTTGAAGCTTCTCCGAGGCCATTGTTGAGTTCTGATGAGCGACGGGAACATAGCCCGGCGTACCCCAGGGTGGTCCAACATAGGAGGGCAAATTCTACAGGGCAACACTCAGCAGTTGTACTACAAAGGGACATTTGTGAGGACAAACTGGTTCACGAGAGGCCGGTTTGACAGCCGATAGGTCCATCAGCCACGCGACTCTAACGATTAACACCCGACCAGACGGGGAAAAAACTGTGAACCTACAACGGGTTGGGTTCCACTTGCCATCTCGTTCTTGGGCAATCAACATCTGCCTGGACACGTTTCCATGGTGGTTGGATGAAGGTGTCTGGGCTACCGGTAAGCCTTAAAGGGGCGAATGACAGAAGGCCCCTTTAAGGCTTACTGGTAGCCCAGACACCTGTACTACCAGTAAGCCTGGCATGCAGATCTTCACAGCGTTACCTACAGAGCCACTAACCTGGAACAAGTACATAACCAGTGAAGCGTCAGAAGTCATGCTGGGTCCATTGACTAGTTAGTGGATCACCAGGACAAATGAGAAAGGGGGGATCTCCCCAATTCACTCCATCAGCCCCATGACTCTAAGGACTAACACCTATCCAGACCACCAAAGGATGGAATTGTCTACCTAGAACAGTGGTGGCGAACCTGGGCACTCCAGCTGTGCCAAAACTACAAATCCCAACATGCATCTGCCTCTGGTAGTTATGTCTGTGGCTGTCAGAGCTTTGCAATGTGTTATGGGACTTGTAGTTCCAAAACAGCTGGAGTGCCAAGGTTCGCCACCACTGACCTAGAACATGGAGGCTCTACAATGGTCACCCCCCCCCCCCGTCCTGTCCTTGGACAATCAACATCTGCCACACGACATCCAAAACTGAGCTTCAGATCCACCTGAAGGCCATAAAAATGGCGGCTGTGAGTGTTGTCCTAGGGTGGTACCCTAGGGCAGAAAGTCAATGGCTGTGCTTCTAGGGTCAAGGGTCACGGGGGCGGAGCCCTGAGCGCCATGTCCTACCTTTCGCCAGCTTGTCGTGCTTCTCCAGGTAACAGAACCAGTCCTGGCAGGAGGTGATCTCCTCGCTCTTCTCGCTGGGGATGTCCTCTTTGCACGCCGACTTCAGCTGGTCCAGGTCCTCGTTGGTGATGTTCTCGGAGAGCTCCTGCAGCAGGGCGTCATACTCCTCCATGCTGGCCTGCAAACACAACGCACCGGTCAGGATCAAAGCGCTCTCATTGGGTGACAGGAAAATAACAATCACGCGCGCCTCTATCTGTTCTCTATTATAGATCCAGTGCCTATCAAACATAGACCCCGAAATACAAAAAGGGGGAAATACCCCATTGTGGCCACTAGGTGGCGCTGAGGATCGCAGGAAATAAATACATGATAGGAGATACAATGTAACAATTCCAGAGAACACTGCAGGGAATGAACATATAAATGTAACCATTGATACTACAGGGAGAGCAATAGTCACATTTATATGCTCATGTCCTCCAGCGGCCTCTCGACTTGTAACATTTGTATGGCGCTGAGGATCATGGGAAATAAATACGTGTTAGTAAGGAGATACAATGTTACAATGCAAGGGAATGAGCATATAAATGTCACCATTGCTATCCCTGTAGTAGCAATGGTGACATTTATATGCTCATTCCCTCCAGCGTTCTCTTGAATTGTAACATTGTATCTCATTACTAACACGTATTATTTTCCTATGATCCTCAGCGCCATCTAGTGGCCATGGGTGCCTAAAAAAAAAAAAGCAAACTGTTGGCACTGTGAAAATCCTGTTTAATAATGATAATAAAAAATAATATTCATATTAATAATAAAATGAATAATGATAATACAAAATAATGAAAAACAATTATAAA